GCCCAGCAGTACCACCCATCAATGCCACACCTGTGCCCATCAGTGCCACCCATCAGTGCCACCCACCTGTGCCCATCAGTGCCACCCACCTGTGCCCACCAGTGCCACCCACCTCTGACCATCAGTGCAGCCCAGCAGTGCTGCCAGTCAGTGCCCAACAGTTGCGCCAGTCAGTGCCACTAGCCAGTGCCGCCTATCAGTACCCATCATCAGTGCCGCCTATCAGTTCCACCTATCAGTGCCACCTCATTAGTGCTGCCTATCAGTGCCCTTCAGTGCTGCCTATCAGTGCAGCCTCATCAACGCACATCAGTAAAGGAGAAAAATTACCTGTTTGCAAAATTTTATAATAGAAACAATGAAAAACTTTTTTTTTTAATATTTTGCTCTTTTTTTGTTTATAGCACAAAAAATAAAACACACCCAGTAGTGATAAAATACCACCAAAAGAAAGTTCTATTTGTCTGAAAAAAATGATAAAAATTTCATATGGGTACAGTGTTGCATGACCACGCAATTGTCATTCAAAATGCAGCAGCACTGAAAGCTGAAAATTGGCCTGGGCAGGAAGGGGGTATAAGTGCCCGGTAGGTAAGTGGTTAATAGAGAAAAAAAGACTGGATATATCTAGTGGAATTGGGGGGTATGAAGAAAAAGGGAAAGGAGAAAAGAGAATAAGGATAAGAGGAAAGGAAGGGAAGATAAGGAAAAAAATAAATAAATAAAAAATAAGGGGGGGGGGGGGGGGGGATTAGTCTTTTTCCATTTATATAATGAAAAATAAAAACCCAGTGCTGATCAAATACCACCAAAGGAAATCTCTGCGTGAAATAAAATGATATATGTTTCATTTTGGTACAGTGTTGCATGACTGCGCAATTGCCAGTTAAATTAGCGCAGTGCTGAACAGCAAAAAATTGCCCTGGTCAAGAAGGGAGTAAAGCCTTCCGGAGCTCAAGTAGTTAAACAAACCAATCTCTAACAGCGTATGTGGATTTTGTTTCGGAAATTCCAAAACTGAATGTTAAAAGCAAATTCAATTTTGAAGTGCTTTCGAAGGACATTCGTCAAGCTTGGATGGCATTATCGAATGTACTGATGAGATTTTTTTTTGTTGTACCAACCTTCCAATGAAAATCTTTCAGTGTATGGCCAGGTTTAATTTAACCCTTTTGATACCAGCGGGGAGGTTTTACACACTATAAATGATACTTTTAGCTGCTACAGCAGACTGGAATGTGTATAAATCTGATAACTCAACTGACGGCCCTTTGGAAGCAATTCAACGCGTAATTCAGGGGTCTCCAGACTTTCCAAACAAAGGGTCAGTTTACTTCTAGACTTGAGGGGGGCCATTAGGAGTAGAAGAGGTCCAAACGTTAGTGGGAATAAATAATGCTCCATCTTTGGTATCAGTGGGAGGAATAGCGCCATATCATTGGTGTCATTGGGCCCCATTGTTTGTGTCACTGGGAGGAATTTGTGCTCCATCATTGGTGTCGTTGGGAGGAATTCTGCCCCTTCACTGGTGTCGTTGGGAGGAATTCTGCCCCTTCACTGGTGTTAGTGGGAGGAATTCTGCCCCTTCACTGGTGTCAGTGGAAGGAATTCTGCCCCTTCACTGGTGTCAGTGGAAGGAATTCTGCCCCTTCACTGGTGTCAGTGGGTGGAATTCTGCCCCTTCACTGGTGTCAGTGGGAGGAATTCTGCCCCTTCACTGGTGTCAGTGGGAGGAATTCTGCCCCTTCACTGGTGTCAGTGGGAGGAATTCTGCCCCTTCACTGGTGTCAGTGGGAGGAATTCTGCCCCTTCACTGGTGTCAGTGGGAGGAATTCTGCCCCTTCACTGGTGTCAGTGGGAGGAATTCTGCCCCTTCACTGGTGTCAGTGGGAGGAATTCTGCCCCTTCACTGGTGTCAGTGGGAGGAATTCTGCCCCATCATTGGTGTCAGTGGAGGAATTCTGCCCCATCATTGGTGTCAGTGGGAGGAATTCTGCCCCTTCACTGGTGTCAGTGGGAGGAATTATGCCCCATTATTAATTTTAGTGGATAGAAAATAGTGCCTCAAGGGCTGGATAAATGCAGGCAAAAGGCCATATATGGCCCCCAGGCCACAATTTGGAGACCACTGGCTGAATAGAACATTTTCCCTGGGGGCCCTTTGCCCATCCTACTGTGTTGAAGCCGGGCGTCACCCCCTGGATCCAGGCAGGAATGGTTTAAAGAGTAGATCTGCTCCCCGGCACACAACACTAAGGTTTGTTTCAGCAGGAATACTGGGGGAACGCAGTTCCGGCATCCCCAGCCCAGGGGCGGACTGACAACTCATGGGGCCCCCCGGGCAATAGGGGATCATGGGGCCCCTGTATCCTTGCCCAAACTCAAAAAAACCTATGAAAAAGGTGCCAGGGACATCTCATGGGGGCCCCCTACTGACCCCGGGCCCTCGGGCAGTGCCCAAGTTTCCAAATGGTCAGTCTGCCCCTGTCCCAGCCCTAAATGTAGGCAATGGCAAGGGGTGGTTTGGTGTACTGCAGGCTGCATTGATTCTGGCTGCTGGGGATCTGTTTTTGCAGGCGAGGGGGATCTATTTATGCTGCGGATGTCTACTGCTGATGGTGGAGGATCTATTTTTGCTGGGGGTGGGTCTTATGTTGCTATGTGGTCAATTGTTGCTGGGAGGGATCTACTATTAAGAGAGAGGTCTAATTGTTACTAGCTGCAGGATGATCTATTGATTCTGGCTGTGGGGCGATTTGTTGTTTTCACGGGTCTATTGTTGCTGGGGGGGTATTTTGTTGCAGGTGGTCCATTGTTGTTGGAGGGTGGTCTATTGTTGCCGGCTGCAGGGGATCTATTTTACTGTTTTTCTTGTTATCATTAACAAATTCCATACAAATTGATACTTGGATCTGTATTCTCTAGAAGGGCAGTACTGGGAGGTAGGTATGGGGTGGAACCAGGGATGGTGCAGGACAGAGACAAGGGGTGACTCAGAAAGGGAGAGTTCCTGCACCTACTCTCTGAGTAAAAAACACCCCGCACAACACGATCACATATGAATACACGAGGGACATCTATCTCAGTTTGCAATACATACGTTGGCATTTTAAACCCCTTCCACTTACATTTTGATACATTGCAGCAAACATAAGAAAAATAAAAACTTTGAATACTCACAAAATAACCCTTTTTATTCCTGGATACCAACTTGTAGAACAGCATTTTAGCACATAGAGCACATATGACAAGCATGACAACAATGATGGTAACACTGATATAGATATAGATACGAGGAGAATCTGCCATGGCATCTTCAGTTGCTGTTGAGTGGAAAAATGCCATTAGTGACAAGATAAAAAAACAACGTAGATCAATGACTAAAAAATCCATGGATTCTGTGTTATAGGTTATCTAAACCCAAGAACAAAAATGTAATATATTGCGGCTTATCAGTCTTTGCATATAATAGCTGCATTAGCTTTTTTTTTTCAGACTAAGACCATTTTCAGCAAGTACAGAACATATCTGTTTTTCCTGCCAGAAACGCTGTGTCTCAGTCACACTGGAAGCATAAAACAATATTATCATCCTGCTCTAAACTACTATTCTATCCCCCATGCACTTTAGATACGCAAAGGCAGATATGTTTGAAGTCCAGCCCGGGTGTCAACTATGACTCCTTCCATAGATCCGCTGGAGGAGTAGGCATAGACAGTGGTTTATTCACTAGATTGCCAGGTGAAAAGAAACTTGAAAAAAGAAAACTAATGCTACCAGGACATTTTTGTTTTGGGGTATAGACAGGGTTCTTTTTTTCTAGCGGGAACATGGAGGAACTCAGCTCCAGCACCACCTGCACTGAATGTATGTAATGACAAGAGGTGCTGGGGTGTGCTGGAAGGTCTATCAATGCAGGCTTCTGGAGGATCTCTTGTCACTGGAGGGGAATTTTTTCCTGGTGGTCTATAGTTGTTGGGGAGGTCTGTTGTTGCTGGTGGGGGATCTATTGTTGCTGGAAGACACCTACTGTTGAGGGAGGGGTCTATTGTTGCAGACTGCCGGAGAGTCTATTGATGTTGGTTGCTGGGGGATCTGCTGTTGCTGCTGGGGTCTGTTTCTGGGGTGGTATTGTATTGCCAGGGTTCATTGTTGCTGGGGGTCTATTTCTGCTGGCTGAGGAGGAGCTATTCTACTGCTTTTCTTGTTATCATTAACACATTCCATACAAATGACTTAGCACCACAAAATGATACTTGGCTGTGTATTCTCTATAAGGAGCAGTACTGGGAGGTGGGTAGGAACCAGGGGACATGCTTGGAGGCAGATAGGGGTGTAGACAAGAAGTGATTCAGAAGGGCGGAATTCCTGCACCTATTTTTTGAGAAAAAAAGCCCTGAGTGTAGATATACTTTAACCACTTGACCTCCAGAGGGTTTTATCCCCTTCATGACCAGGGCATGTTTTTGCTATTCAGCACTGTGCTATTTTAACTAGCAATTGCATGGTTATGCAACACTGTACTCAAATTAAATTTATATATTTTTTTTCCCACACAAATAGGGCATTCATTATATGAATGAGAAAAGAGTGAACATTTTGAAATAAGATATATTTTCTACTTTTTTACAAAACATGTCCAATAAAATCAAATTTCTTCATAGATTTAGGTCAAAATGTTTTCTGCTACATATCTTTGGTAAAAAAAAAAAATCCCACATCCAACACTGAGTTTTTTGGGGGACACTAAAACATTAGGGTCACTAGTATAATTCTGATCGTGATAAAGATTCTGATCTGTACAGACCAGGGGCGGACTGACAACTCATGGGGCCCCCGGGCAATAGGGGATCATGGGGCCCCTGTGTCCCTGCCCAAACTCAAAAAAGCCTATGAAAAAGGTACCAGGGGCATCTCATGGGGCCCCCTACTGACCCCGGGTCCTCGGGCAGTGCCCGAGTTTCCAAATGGTCAGTCCGCCCCTGGTACAGACAGTATACTAGTAATGGTGGTGATCAGTGACTTATAGTGTGACTGTGATAATGTGGTGGGCAATCTGGTGCTAAATGACACGGGCTGGGAGGGACACTAACGTTACTAGCAACGCTAATACAATGATCTGTGATAATAGTGTACATTGTACTAACACTGGTGGAGTAACAGGAGTGATCAGGAGGGCAATCAAGGGGTTAACTGTGTGGATAAAACACAAAAAGGTGTCTGTCTTCATTTCAGGCTGCAAAGCAACAAAATGTGATTATTGTAAAGGGGTTCTTTACCCACTGTATGTAATACATAGGCTAACTAAAGTGTTTTTTTGGAGTAGCTCTTTAAAATATTAGTAACTACACATGTCTAGTGTAATGCAAGGAGAACAATGGCAAAGCTACACGGCACATACAACCAACTGATAAAGTGATACAGTCCGCGTGACAACTTACTTGTATCCTTTAGAAATTCCGAAAGATATTTGTCGGAAGGGAGTGCCGGATGACTCACTACACAGACCACTTTCTCTTCCATTCCTCGAGTGACCCCCAGAGTAAAGTTACTTATGGTGGTCACTGATCCATTTGGGTTTTCAATAGTGTAGGTCTGACGTGTTGATGGCAGACTACCCGTAGCATTCCATGAGATCACCGGGGCTGGCTTGCCGGTGGCTGAACAGGTGACAACGTGCATCTTCTCTGAGCCGTCCTGGGATTTGGCCGGATGTATTTCCAGAATAGGGTCTGATATGTTTCTTTCTAGACGTAAAAGAAAACCCAAAACAACCCATAAGATAACCAGTGCAGGCCAAAAAAATACTGGGGTCGTTTAATAAAGGAGCTACAACACTTTTCTGGCTTTATGGCTCCTTTAACCTCCCTAGTGGTCTGATTATGTCCATATTTCTATGTTCAAAGCGGTACATTTTTTTGCATGAAAATATGTATTTTTTTTATTGTAGGCCTGTAATTTTTAGGAATAACTCACTGAAATCTGTCCGAACAAGAGTCTAGTAAACATCCCGGGTATGATAAAACTTGAAACACGAAATCATAAATTATAATATGATAAATAATCATAAAAAATATTATAATAATTTTAATTCAATAATATAATCAAACCAAAAACACTGAAATTTGAAATATAGCGCCAAGTTCGCACATCGCTGAGCAAAGTCGCAGAATCGTTTTCAGTGTCTGATGATGAATTTCCCCCACAAATCATTATCACTCAATTCTGCAAGTGGTTCTGATTTACTATCGCTGTTCTCTAGCCGGTCTAAAACCGCTTTTGACCTAAAGGGACGCTTTTTGGACGCCATGGACGTTTCTCAGTTTCCAGGCAGAAAGAACAGTAAAAATGCAGGCAGGGCGCCGGACAAAGCACTCGGGACAAAATGTATGTGAAATGGTTTGATACAGGAATGTTATACTATGTGATTTTAGTGTATTTAGTGAATGTCACTTTTTGTCATTTTCAAATTTCCCGCCGTTCCGTCCCCCATACGTCCCGACGCTTACAGGGAACGGAACCCAGAAGACAGATGCCGGCATCGGCCGGAGGACATTGCCGGGGACACAGCAGGAGGGACATCGCAGGAGCGCAGGACAAGGTAAGTGAAGAAGGGATCCCCGAGCAGCGCTGCAGTGTATTCCCGAGTGTAGCTCGAGGTTACCGCTTGTGGTGCTGAAACTTTACCCCGAGCTACACTCGGGAATACCACCAGAGGGGGTTACCATGGACTGCATCACATCCAGTAAAGTATTAAAACAGTTTTGGAAGAAGGTCCAACACGTATGCCAGATTATTTCCAGATTTCCGGCACTGTGGGAAAATGTTGCTGTGGTTGCGACAGATATGAAAAGAATCACTGCACTTCGCACATAACTGGAGGTAATCAAGACCAACCCTGAGTTGGCATACGGAGAGACACCAGTGCTCAGAGTGGGGTATTTTGTGCCAGAAGGTTGTCATGAATTTACGCTTCTGGTTGCTAGAAAGCCATGGGCCGCTGGCTTCCTAGCAACCAACAGTCTCCATCCCAATTCACCTGCTGGCCAGGAGATTCTCCAGTCTGCTGCTGAATGTACACAAATGGGTGGGGGATGTTTGCTGATGTCATTACCCAAATTTGGCAATGGGCATATTTGGGTAATGGCAGAAATTTTCCAGCTGACTGCTAAGTAGGGGCAGGGAAGCATCACTGGTTGAAACAACGCTGTCAGTTGCACAGCTGATGGCTTCTTAGCAACTAGTGACAGATGTGTCCTCAGTGCTGCCCCCCACCATGCCTTTGCTAAGTTTATGCACCTGTCCCTGGGGTGGACTGACAACTCATGGGGCCTCCAGGCAATAGGGGATCATGGGGCCCCTGTGTCCTTGCCCAAACTCAAAAAAGCCTAGGAAAAAGGTACCAGGGGCATCTCATGGGGCCCCCTACTGACCCTGGGCCCTCGGGCAGTGCCCGAGTTTCCAAATAGTCAGTGCGCCCCTGACCTGTCCACAACAGGTACATGAATTTGTTGCAGGTACTGTCAGGTGACTCGAAACCGGGAATCCAGGGTCCTGATCGTTAGTATGAGACCCGGTGCTCTTGGTGAGAGCCCGGTCTCTGTGCTGGGAGCATGCCCCAAGAGAGGTTTGCATACATGTGGCCCCACAAATAAAGACCCACTTCCAATAGGCCGTATATATGCGTACGGTCGGTGGGAAGGGTTAAATTCATTGTCATTGAGAAGAATGCCCCTAGGTTGGTGGTCAGTAGGAAGAATGCTCCTTATATTGGTGGTCAGAAGGAAGAATGTATCTTGCAGAGATAGTCAAAAAGTTAAAGTATAACTAAAGGCAAAACTTTTTTTTTTTTTTTTTTTTTTTACTTTTGATCAGAGTGGAGATGTATTAGAACCCCTGTCAGCTTCTATTGCTGTTTGTGCCCTCATTATGGAGATTCACCCTCTATTTGTCCTATTTTACCATTATTAAAAGTGAAAGAAAAAAAAATCCAAATATTGGGTTGTCCCTCATGGAATTCCGTTAAAGTGTTACTAACCCAGGACCCACTATATCTGATCTCCCCGTGCCCTGTATTCACTATATCTGGTCTCCCCTGCGGACCCTGCATTCACTATATCTGGTCTCCCCGGACCCTGCATTCACTATATCTGGTCTCCCCGGACCCTGCATTCACTATATCTGGTCTCCCCGGACCCCGCATTCACTATATCTGGTCTCCCCGGACCCTGCATTCACTATATCTGGTCTCCCCGGTGCATTCACTATATCTGGTCTCCCGGACCCTGCATTCACTATATCTGGTCTCCCCGGCCCCGCATTCACTATATCTGGTCTCCCCGGGCCCCGCATTCACTATATCTGGTCTCCCCGGGCCCCGCATTCACTATATCTGGTCTCCCTGGGCCCCGCATTCACTATATCTGGTCTCCCTGGGCCCCGCATTCACTATATCTGGTCTCCCCGGGCCCCGCATTCACTATATCTGGTCTCCCCGGGCCCCGCATTCACTATATCTGGTCTCCCCGGGCCCCGCATTCACTATATCTGGTCTCCCCCGGCCCCGCATTCACTATATCTGGTCTCCCCGGGCCCCGCATTCACTATATCTGGTCTCCCCGGCCCCGCATTCACTATATCTGGTCTCCCCGGGCCCCGCATTCACTATATCTGGTCTCCCCGGGCCCCGCATTCACTATATCTGGTCTCCCCGGACCCCGCATTCCCTAAATCTGGTCTCCCCGGACCCTGCATTCACTATATCTGGTCTCCCCGGACCCTGCATTCACTATATCTGGTCTCCCCAGGGCCCCGCATTCACTATATCTGGTCTCCCCGGGCCCCGCATTCACTATATCTGGTCTCCCCGGACCCCGCATTCCCTAAATCTGGTCTCCCCGAACCCCGCATTCACTATATCTGGTCTCCCCGGACCCTGCATTCACTATATCTGGTCTCCCCGGACCCCGCATTCACTATATCTGGTCTCCCCGGACCCCGCATTCACTATATCTAGTCTCCCCGGACCCTGCATTCACTATATCTGGTCTCCCACAGTACACAGAACATGAAAATGCAATTATGTTAGTAAATATAAACTGCTAAATCCCTTTTCTTATCAGCAGTTAGAGCAGTCTTTATCAGTGTCCAGCAGAGCACTGGTTAAAGCTTGTAGAAGGAGTTTTTATTTTGCTCTAGGAGGATGCAGAAAACCTCTCAATGCACACCACACTGAGCATGTGCAGGGTGACTCCACATGATATGTCTTATCAGGAGATAAGAGGGGGGCACTGGAAGAAGGGGAGGATCAGAGAAGACAGGATCAAACAGCATTTTTACACAATGCAGAGGATTAACCCCTTAGGTTCCACAGTGAGTATAACAAGCATGTTTTACTGCATCTACAGACTGATTGTACTGTTGTGGGGTTAGTAACACTTACATTTGCAGGGATTTCCTCTCCCTTCCTGTTTTGGCTATGGGACATGAAGTAAAGGGAAATCTCCCCAATGGGACACGGATGTGGAAAGAAAATCTGACTTGCTCTATCTAAAATGAAGGAAAGGAATAGTGCCCCATCATTAGTGTTAGTGGGAGGAATAGAGTTCCAAGGGCCAGATAAAGGCAAGCAAAGGGCCACATCTGGCCCTCAGGCTGCAGTTTGGAGACCACTGCACTTGGGATTGAAAGCTAGAACCGCAGGACCATAAATCCCTGGAAGCGCTGTATTTCTGTGCATGGCTTTCAGTCTGTCAGATGTTTGACAAATCACTTTATTTCAATAGGAGGGCAGAACTCAATTCCTCTTCAATAACCGTCCATAGATCATGACTTCCAGATAAATCTCTACGTAGGTTTTTGGAAAATCCTCTGGTGTGGAAACTCCTCTTAGAAGTGAAACTGAAACTAAAAACTGAGAACAGTCCTTGTCTCGTACACTTCCCGCTGATGTGCTGCTTTCTGGGAAACTGCTTGGGCTTCCTGATCTAACCTGGGATTTCAAAGAAAATCACGGCTCTCACATGTCCCTTATTTATAGGAACAGTCCCACTGTTACAGCCGAATCCGTCAGACCCTCATTCCTCCTACAATGACCTCATCTGGATCAACTGTGGGTGTGGGATTATAACTTTTGTTTTTTTTCTATGGTTGAACTGGATGGACTTTTGTCATTTTTCAGCCAGACTAATTATGTAACTACAGTTGCAAGAAAAAGTATGTGAACCCCTTGGGATTACGTGGAGTTTTGCATGAATTGGGCATAAAATGTGCTCTGAACGTCATCTAAATCACAACAATAGAAGAACACAGTCTGCTGAACATAATACTACACAAACATTAGATGTTTCCATGGTTTAATTGCACATAACATGTAAACATTCACAGTGCAGGGAGGAAAAAGTATGTGAGTCCCTAGCTTAATGACTTCTCCCAGAGCTAATTGGAGTCAGGAGTGAGCCAACCTTGACTCCAATCAGTGTGATGATATTGGATGTGTTGCTGACAGCTGTCCTGCCCTTAAAAAACACACACCTGTGTTGGGTTTACTGGTTTCAAGAAGCACTGTCTGATGTGAACCATGCCTCGCAGAAAAGAGCTCTCAGAAGACCTACGATCAAGAATTGTTGACTTGCATGAAGCTGGAAAGGGTTACAAAAGTATCTCCAAAAGGCTTGATGTTCATGTGTCCACGGTAAGACAGACTGTCTACAAATGGAGAAAGTTTAGCACTGTTGCTACTCTCCCTAGGCGCGGTCGTCCTGTAAAAAAATGACTGCAAGAGCACAGCGCAGAATGCTGCATGAGGTAAAGAAGAATCCCAGAGTGTCAGCTAAAGACCTACAGAAATCTCTGGCACATGCTAACATTTTTGTTGACACATCTACAATAAGGAAAACATTAAACAAGAATGGAGTACATGGGAGGACACCACGGAGGAAGCCATTGCTGTCCAAAAAGAATATTGCAGCACGTTTGAAGTTTGCAAAAGAGCACCTGGATGTTCCACAGCACTACTGGCAAAATATACTGTGGACAGATGAAACCAAGATTGAGTTGTTTGGGAAGAACACACAACACTATGTGTGGAGAAAAAAAGGCCAGCACACCAACATCAAAACCTCATCCCCACTGTAAAACATGGAGGAGGGAGCATCATGGTTTGGGGCTGCTTTGCTGCCTCAGGGCCTGGACGGATTGTTGTCATTGATGGGAAAATGAATTCCAAGTTTATCAAGACATTTTGCAGGAAAACGTACGACCGTCTGTCCGCCAACTGAAGCTCCGCAGAGGATGGGTGATGCAACAGGACAATGACCCAAATCATACAAGTAATTCAACAAAACAATGGCTGCAACAGCACAGAATACGCCTTCTGGAGTGGCCCAGTCAGAGTCCTGACCTCAACCCGATTGAAATGCTGTGGCATGACCTTAAGAGAGCGATTCACACCAGACATCCCAAGAATATTGCTACACTGAAACAGTTTTGTGAAGAGGAGTGGT